GTTTATATAGCTTTGTGCGATTTGAAAATTATTAATAAATTTATTTAGTTTAAAAGGTTATCAAACCTTATGGTATTAAATAAAAAATATGCGAGACTAAATAGTTGAAATTAAGCTAATTGTTCCAGACTGAGATTATCATTCCAGCCAAAAGATAAAAATCAATGATCACTCTTATTTTCCACCAAAATTCAATATTTTGAGTGAAAACATAAAAGTCAAAAGAATGACAATCTGTCACTTATAAACCCTACCAAAATTTTATTTTTTAATTGAAAACATAAAAGTCCATTTTCTGGCTAAACTAGAGGAGCTACGGCCAAAACAGTAAAAATCTGTGATCTCTTAAAAATCCTACTAAAAGTCGATTTTTTGAGTGAAAACATAAAAGTCCATTTTCTGGCTAAACTAGAGGAGCTACAGCCTAAACAATGAAAATCTGTGATCACTTATAAATCCTACCAAAATTCCATATTTTGAGTGAAAACATAAAAGTCCATTTTCTGGCTAAACTAGAGGATTTACAGCCAAAACAATGAAAATCTGTGATCACTTATAAACCCTACCAAAATTTGATTTTTTAATTGAAAATATAAAAGTGAATTTTCTGGCTAAACTAAAGTAGCTACGGCCAAAACAGTAAAAATCTGTGATCACTTTTATTTCCTGCCAAAATTATATATTTTGAGTGAAAACATAAAAGTCCATTTTCTGGCTAAACTAGAAGAGCTAGGCCAAAACAGTGATAATCTGTGATCACTTATAAATCCTACCAACATTTGATATATTGAGTGAAAATATAAAAGTCCATTTTCTGGCTAAACTAGAGGAGCTAGGGCCAAAACAATGAAAATCTGTGATCACTCAAAAATCCTACTAAAATTCGATATTTTGAGTGAAAACATAAAAGTCCATTTTCTGGCTAAACTAGAAGAGCTACATCCAAAACAGTAAAAATCTGTGATCACTTATAAATCCTAACAAAATTCGATATTTTGAGTGAAAACATTAAAGTCCATTTTCTGGCTAAACTAGAAGAGCTAGGGCCAAAACAATGAAAATCTGTGATCACTCGAAAATCCTACTAAATTTCGATATTTTGAGTGAAAACATAAAAGTCCATTTCCTGGCTAAACTAGAAGAGCTAGGGCCAAAACAATGAAAATCTGTGATCACTCAAAAATCCTACCAAAATTCGATTTTTTGAGTGAAAACATAAAAGTCCATTTTCTTGCTAAAAATCCATTTCCTGGCTAAACTAGGGGAGCTACAGGCAAAACAATGAAAATCTGTGATCACTTATAAATCCTACCAAAATTCGATATTTTGAGTGAAAACATAAAAGCCCATTTTCTGGCTAAACTAGAGGAACTAGGACCAAAACAATGAAAATCGGTGATCAGTTATAAATCCTAACAAAATTCGATATTTTGAGTGAAAACATTAAAGTCCATTTTCTGGCTAAACTAGAAGAGCTAGGGCCAAAACAATGAAAATCTTTGTTCACTTATAAATCCTACCAAAATTTGATTTTTTGAGTGAAAACATAAAAGTCCATTTTCTGGCTAAACTAGAAGAGCTAGGGCCAAAACAATGAAAATCTGTGATCACTCAAAAATCCTACTAAAACTCGATATTTTGAGTGAAAACATAAAAGTCCATTTTCTGGCTAAACTAGAGGAGCTAGGGCCAAAGCAATGGAAAGCTGTGATCACTTATAAATCCTACCAAAATTTTATATTTTGAGTGAAAACATAAAAGTCCATTTTCTGGCTGAACTAGAGGAACTAGGACCAAAACAATGAAAATCGGTGATCAGTTATAAATCCTAACAAAATTCGATATTTTGAGTGAAAACATTAAAGTCCATTTTCTGGCTAAACTAGAAGAGCTAGGGCCAAAACAATGAAAATCTTTGTTCACTTATAAATCCTACCAAAATTTGATTTTTTGAGTGAAAACATAAAAGTCCATTTTCTGGCTAAACTAGAAGAGCTAGGGCCAAAACAATGAAAATCTGTGATCACTCAAAAATCCTACTAAAACTCGATATTTTGAGTGAAAACATAAAAGTCCATTTTCTGGCTAAACTAGAGGAGCTACAGCCAAAACAATGAAAATCTGTGATCACTTATAAATCCTAACAAAATTCAATTTTTTGAGTGAAAACATAAAAGTCCATTTTCTGGCTAAACTAGAGGAGCTAGGGCCAAAGCAATGGAAAGCTGTGATCACTTATAAATCCTACTAAAATTTTATATTTTGAGTGAAAACATAAAAGTCCATTTTCTGGCTGAACTAGAGGAATTAGGACCAAAACAATGAAAATCGGTGATCAGTTATAAATCCTAACAAAATTCGATATTTTGAGTGAAAACATTAAAGTCCATTTTCTGGCTAAACTAGAAGAGCTAGGGCCAAAACAATGAAAATCTTTGTTCACTTATAAATCCTACCAAAATTTGATTTTTTGAGTGAAAACATAAAAGTCCATTTTCTGGCTAAACTAGAGGAGCTACGACCAAAGCAATGAAAATCTGTGATCACTCATAAATCCTATCAAAATTTGATTTTTTGAGTGAAAACATAATAGTCCATTTTCTGGCTAAAATAGAAGAGCTAGGGTCAAAACAATGAAAATCTGTAATCACTCATAAATCCTACTAATTCGATATTTTGAGTGAAAACATAAAAGTCCATTTTCTGGCTAAACTAGAGGAGCTAGGGCCAAAACAATAAAAATCTGTGATCACTTATAAATCCTACCAAAATTCAGTATTTTGAGTGAAAACATAAAAGTCCACTTTCTGGCTAAACAGAAGAGCTAGGGCACTTATAAATCCTACCAAAATTCGATGTTTTGAGTGAAAACATAAAAGTCCATTTTCTGGCTAAACTAGAGGAGCTACAGCCAAAACAATGAAAATCTGTGATCACTTATAAATACTACCTAAATTCGATATTTTGACTGAAAACATAAAAGCCCATTTTCTGGCTAAGAGGAGCTACAGCCAAAACAATGAAAATCTGTGATCACTTATAAATCCTACCAAAATTTGATTTTTTGAGTGAAAACATAAAAGTCCATTTTCTGGCTAAACTAGAGGAGCTACGACCAAAGCAATGAAAATCTGTGATCACTCATAAATCCTATCAAAATTTGATTTTTTGAGTGAAAACATAAAAGTCCATTTTCTGGCTAAACTAGAAGAGCTAGGGTCAAAACAATGAAAATCTGTGATCACTTATAAATCCTACTAATTCGATATTTTGAGTGAAAACATAAAAGTCCATTTTCTGGCTAAACTAGAGGAGCTAGGGCCATAACAATGAAAATCTGTGGTCACCTATAAATCCTACCAAAATTCGATATTTTGAGTGAAAACATAAAAGTCCATTTTCTGGCTAAACTAGAGGAGCTACGACCAAAGCAATGAAAATCTGTGATCACTTATAAATCCTACCAAAATTCGATTTTTTGAGTGAAAACCTAAAAGTCCATTTTCTTGCTAAAAATCCATTTCCTGGCTAAACTAGGGGAGCTACAGGCAAAACAATGAAAATCTGTGATCACTTATAAATCCTACCAAAATTCCATATTTTGAGTGAAAACATAAAAGCCCATTTTCTGGCTAAACTAGAGGAGCTACAGCCAAAACAATGAAAATCTGTGATCACTTATATATCCTATCAAAATTCCATATTTTGAGTGAAAACATAAAAGTCAATTTTCTGGTTAAACTAGAGAAGCTACAGCCAAAACAATGAAAATCTGTGATCACTCATAAATCCTATCAAAATTTGATTTTTTGAGTGAAAACATAAAAGCCCATTTTCTGGCTAAACTAGAAGAGCTAGGGCCAAAACAATGAAAATCTGTGATCACTCGAAAATCCTACTAAATTTCGATATTTTGAGTGGAAACATAAAAGTCCATTTTCTGGCTAAACTAGAAGAGCTAGGGCCAAAACAATGAAAATCTGTGATCACTCAAAAATCCTAACAAAATTCGATATTTGGAGTGAAAACATAAAAGTCCATTTTCTGGCTAAACTAGAAGAGCTACAGCCAAAACAGTAAAAATCTGTGATCACTTATAAATCCTAACAAAATTCGATATTTTGAGTGAAAACATTAAAGTCCATTTTCTGGCTAAACTAGAAGAGCTAGGGCCAAAACAATGAAAATCTGTGATCACTCGAAAATCCTACTAAATTTCGATATTTTGAGTGAAAACATAAAAGTCCATTTTCTGGCTAAACTAGAGGAGCTAGGGTCAAAACAATGAAAATCTGTGATCACTTATAAATCCTAACAAAATTCGATATTTGGAGTGAAAACATAAAAGTCCATTTTCTGGCTAAACTAGAGGAGCTAGGGCCAAAACAATGAAAATCTGTGATCACTTATAAATCCTACCAAAATTCAATATTTTGAGTGAAAACATAAAAGTCCATTTTCTGGCTAAACTAGAAGAGTTTGGGCCAAAGCAATGAAAATCTGTGATCACTTATAAATCCAACCAAAATTCGATATTTTGAGTGAAAACATAAAAGTCCATTTTCTGGCTAAACTAGAGGAGCTAGGGTCAAAACAATGAAAATCTCTGATCACTTATAAATCCTAACAAAATTCGATATTTGGAGTGAAAACATAAAAGTCAATTTTCTGGCTAAACTAGAAGAGCTAAAGCCAAAACAGTAAAAATCTGTGATCACTTAAAAATCCTGTCAAAATTCGATATTTTGAGTGAAAACATAAAAGTTCATTTTCTGGCTAAACTAGAGGAACTAGGACCAAAACAATGAAAATCTGTGATCACTCATAAATCCTTCCAAAATTCCATATTTTGAGTGAAAACATAAAAGTACATTTTCTCGTTAAACCAGAGGAGCTAGGGCCAAAAGAATGATAATCTGTGATCACTTTTATTTTCTTACTTTCGATATTTTGAGTAAAAACATAAAATCTAAGGCCAAATCACTTGAAATCGTTACAAATTCGGTGTTTACATCCAATATTTATTGAAGACAAAATAATTTTTTTGCACAAAATTCTCATTTAGAAACATTTCTTAATATTTATAAGCCAACTGCGTAAACTCTGTAATGGAATCCATCTTTACTTTCAAGTTGCTTAATATTATAAATGTATCGAACCATTTCAAAATGGGTTTTGGCAGACCCTTTTTATTTTCTTCAAACTTTTCGATAAATTCGCCAAAAAAATTTTCGAAAAGTTCAAATAATTTCACAGTTACAGCTTCACAATTGTATTTATTTAAAATATCAATAATAAATTTTGATTCCTTTGTGATTTGTTGCTGTTCGCTTAGTTCAAAATAATAATAGGTTATATTGACAAAATCAGCCATTGATTCATAAATTTCTTGCATACTTTGGGCTTTATTATAGTTACTTAGGAATGAGCAGAGTTTGAATTTGAACACTAAGACTTCTGGCTTACTATTGGATTTTAAATCTTCATCCTTAAGCATATGATTTGTGACTTTGAGAGCGTCCAAGACATATTGTTCGGATATGCTATTGAAATTATCCACGGTTAAGACCAGAAGTCTATCAGTGGCACTGTCATTTAAACTCATTTGATCTAGGGCAGCATTATTGTCTGGATTAGAGACTGCCACGGGATGGCCGAAGATTTGCTGAGGAGATTTTTCGATTAATTGGTATATTGTTTATCATTCAACTAAACTTACCGTTACTGAGATCAACACGAAAATTATATTCAAAATTTTTAATAGTGCCATTACCGTTTTGTTGTCTTTAAGACTACTGTGGATTTCGGAAACATACTGTCTATAAAATTTATTCTATACTTATTTAAACATTTTTTGAGTTTCTTATATTTTTATGATTTATTTATTGAGTTTTAAAAGGTTATCACTTTATATAATTGTTTAACAGCTTGGGTTTTTTTGTGTTTTCATTTCATGGTATATAGATTCTTGCGTCTTTATTTGAGTTATGTGATAAAGACATCTGATCCTACAAAAACTATACAAATTATAGGTAACGTGTTAATTTATAGACTAATCTCTAGTCAAGTCTATAGACTAATGTATAGTTAAGACTAATGTATAGTTAGATCAATCTATAGTCAAGACTATAGACTAATCTATAGTCAAGTCTATAGACTAATCCATAGTCAAGACTATAGACTAATCTATAGTCAAGACTATAGACTAATCTATAGTCAAGACTATAGACTGAGCTATAGTGAAGACTATATACTGAGCTATAGTCAAGACTATAGACTGATCTATAGTCAAGACTATAGACTGATCTATAGTCAAGACTATAGACTGAGCTATAGTGAAGACTATATACTGAGCTATAGTCAAGACTACAGACTGATCTATAGTCAGGACTATACACTAATATATAGTCAAAACTAGAGACTAATCTATAGTCAAGACTATAGACTAATCTATAGTCAAGACTATAGACTAATCTATAGTCAAGTCTATAGACTAATCCATAGTCAAGACTATAGACTAATCTATAGTCAAGACTATAGACTAATCTATAGTCAAGACTATAGACTGAGCTATAGTGAAGACTATATACTGAGCTATAGTCAAGACTATAGACTGATCTATAGTCAAGACTATAGACTGATCTATAGTCAAGACTATAGACTGATCTATAGTCAAGACTATAGACTGATCTACAGTCAAGACTATAGACTGATCTATAGTCAAGACTATAGACTGATCTATAGTCAAGACTATAGACTGATCTATAGTCAAGACTATAGACTAATCTATAGTCAAGACTATAGACTAATCTATAGTCAAGACTATAGACTAATCTATAGTCAAGACTATAGACTAATCTATAGTCAAGACTATAGACTAATCTATAGTCAAGACTATAGACTAATCTATAGTCAAGACTATAGACTAATCTATAGTCAAGACTATAGACTAATCTATATTCAAGACTATAGACTAATCTATAGTCAAGACTATAGACTAATCTATAGTCAAGACTATAGACTAATCTATAGTCAAGACTATAGACTAATCTATTGTCAAAACTATAGACTAATCTATAGTCAAGACTATAGACTAATCTATAGTCAAGACTATAGACTAATCTATAGTCAAGACTATAGACTAATCTATAGTCAAGACTATAGACTAATCTATAGTCAAGACTATAGACTAATCTATAGTCAAGACTATAGACTAATCTATAGTCAAGACTATAGACTAATCTATAGTCAAGACTATAGACTAATCTATATTCAAGACTATAGACTAATCTATAGTCAAGACTATAGACTAATCTATAGTCAAGACTATAGACTAATCTATAGTCAAGACTTTAGACTAATCTATAGTCAAGACTATAGACTAATCTATAGTCAAGACTATAGACTAATCTATTGTCAAGACTATAGACTAATCTATAGTCAAGACTATAGACTAATCTATAGTCAAGACTATAGACTAATCTATAGTCAAGACTATAGATTAATCTATAGTCAAGACTATAGATTAATCTATAGTCAAGACTATAGATTAATCTAGACTATAGACTAATCTATAGTCAAGACAATAGACTAATCTATAGTCAAGACTATAGACTAATCTATAGTCAAGACAATAGACTAATCTATAGTCAAGACTATAGATTAGACTATAGACTAATCTATAGTCAAGACTATAGACTAATCTATAGTCAAGACTATAGACTAATCTATAGTCAAGACTATAGACTAATCTATAGTCAAGACTATAGACTAATCTATAGTCAAGACTATAGACTAATCTATAGTCAAGACTATAGACTGATTTATAGTCAAGACTATAGACTGATCTATAGTCAAGACTATAGACTGATCTGTAGTCAAGACTATAGACTGATCTAAAGTCAAGACTATAGACTGATCTATAGTCAAGACTGTATGCTGATCTATAGTCAAGACTATAGAATGATCTATAGTCAAGACTATAGACTGATCTATAGTCAAGACTATAGACTGTTCTACAGTCAAGACTCATCTATATTCAAGACTATAGACTTATCTCTAGTCAAGACTATAGACTAATTTATAATCAAGTCTATGGTGGAGAAAATATTTAGTAAAAATCTTTTTATAAAATTATTTCTTTATAATCATTTATTTTCGAAATTTTCTTTAAATTTCATCATAATTTTATCAATCAGCAAGAGCGAAATCAATGAAGAATTTTATTTTTTCTTCCAAATTAGTTAAACTAGTAAATTTATCGAAATGCTCCAATACACTCTTCTCATAGTTACTTCTATTCTCGTCAAACATTTTAACGAAAGTCTCGAAAAACTTTTCCAAACGTGTTGTCAATTCCATGGATATATCTTTGAAGTTGTATTTATTTAATAATTCAATAATGAATTTGTATTCATCGTTGACTTTATCTTCGGGTAGTTCATAATAATAATCGGTTAGATCAACAAACTCGTCTAAAGCTTCATAAGAAGCTGAAATATCTTTTCCTGAATTTGCATACTTGTCCATGAATACGTTTAGCTTGCTTTTAAACTCCATTACTTCGGGCTTGTGATTGGCCAACAAAGCTTTATCCTTGAGTAAATATTGTGTGGCATTGGCAGCAATAACTTCATAATGTTTGGGTATGGAGGCGAAATTTTGTATGGTGTGCTCAAGAATTTTATCGGAGTGATCGCAGAGGACACTCTGTGCAAAGAAAGTAAAATATTAATAAGAATTTGGTTTAATCTTCTTATTTATACTTACTTGGGCCAGGATTAGAACTAGAGAGATGTTCACAAGTTTAAGGAAAGCCATGGTTCTTTGAGTTTTCTGAAGAAACTATTTGAAATATTTGTTGTGAGTTTGATTTATATGAATCTCGGTTTTGGGTTTGAGATATCAGCTTATATATGAAATTGCATTAGCTGATTTACTTAGTTGAAAAGGTTATCGGAGCTTTTATAGGTGTTTTATATTTGTATTAAAATTAGTTAATGATTTAAAATTGTATATTGAAAATGAATGGCTAATGAACTGAATCACCAGCAGCCTTGACATTCAGGATTATTGCTTAAAACGTTTCCATATTGTTGGATGGTTTATGGATTATAATGATAATTAATATTAATGGATACAGGGATCATTCTCCACTCTCTGATTGTAGATTGTAAAATGCATTAAAATGGTTCATGCCGAAGGATCATATTCATGCAATACTATATTTAGCCTTTCCTTAAACTCCCGCATTTCGGGTTCACTAAGGTCCTCAAGAGATTCATCTTTAAGTAAATATCGGGTAGTGTTGGCAGCATATAAAAAAAATAAAAAGTATAGTCAGACATGGCCGACCATTTGGTAATCTACACCAGTCATGAGTATCATAGTCTAGTGATAGTTTTGTGATAGTCTAGTGATAGCCTCGTGACAGTGTACTGATAGTGGAGTGATAGTCTAGTGATAGTCTAGTGATGGTCTAGTGATAGTCTAGTGATAGTCTAGTGATAGTCTAGTGATAGTCTAGTGATAGTCTAGTGATAGTCTAGTGATAGTCTAGTGATAGTCTAGTGATATTCTAGTGAGAGTCTAATGATAGTCTAGTGATATTCTAGT